AATCGATTGAAATTGGAGAATATAGTTTCAGTGATTTTGCTGGAGACTTTGAATTGAAGAATTGTCCACAATTACAATCCATTCAAATAGGCACAATTGGTAGTTGGTCATACAATTTTCGTTTTAGTTCGTTTTTAATTCGAGGTATTGAACTGATATTGAAAATGAATAATGCATAGATCTTCCAAATCTACAATCCATTACATTAGGTGATGCTGCATTTGCTTATTCCTTCTCAACAGTGATTGAGAGTAATAAATGAATTCGAATGCAATAATTGAAATAGATCTTCCATCATTACAGAAAATTAAATTAGGTTACTATGCACTAGGTGGTAATTATAACGATATATCGTGTTCCTTGATAATGCGAAGTAATAATGAGATAACTGGAAATGATTGAATGTAGACCTTCCAAGTCTGATATCCATTATCAATTCGGGAGGAAGATCATTTCAAAATCCTCGTTCAGTGACATTGGAAAGTTGTTTATTAGGATTGAATAATGATAGTATTTAGATATTCCAAATCTTCAAATTGTCAATTTACCTACTAAGGATGGTTATAGACCATTCCACTATATTCAAATGGAATCAATATCGAGTATTGTGTAGTTGGTTGCGTGTTACTTGTAGATGTTTCTCTCATTCTCGTTGATCGTATAAAAAGCAAACACTAAATCCGGAAATGGATTTTTACATTATATACTATGCTTCTCTACATTTTATGCTATTCATATTTGTTCCAAACCCCACTGCATCACATTTTGGTCAATCATTCAAATTTAAACTCATCATCCAGCACTCTTTTCCAATATTAGATTCACACCCCAGATTGGTCTAGCTAGCATGTTCCAATCTCCATGTGACCGATGATAAGAATAGAAATAGAAAAATATGATAAATAGTGAGGCAAATTAAAATGATCAATTTGAAGTAGAGCTTATAAATTGAATTCTTTATATTTGTCATATGGCTTGAATAAAGCCTTCACCACCCTGATTTTCTATATAGCATTAATATTTATGTATCAATGGATTCTATATGTGTATACTGTACCTAAAGTATTTCTACATAAATAGAAGCTACAAATTTCGTGAAAACTATATAGTAGAGCAAATGAATTATATAGTGGTAGTAGCATTCTTACAATAGCTCTAAAACATTCTAAATACTATATTTAATAATCTACCAAAATAACAGATCTTGTTTCCAAATAAACCGTTATTTCAAATTTTTCTTATTTTCATGCAAGAGATTATTGATTTTATCAATTCTGAATTTGACAACTATAGAATTGCTGTCTCAGACATTATCGCCATTCAAGGACAATCAAATGAAGAAATGACACCAAATGGCTGGATTTCATTCATTTTGGGTAATAGAGAATGTGTGTTATTGATATTCAATAATGGAGTTTTCATGAATCAAGGATTTGTGCTCAATGAGCAAAAAGTGTTGAAAGTGCTCGGAAATCGTCAAATTGGCCATATATTGTATGATGAGCAATCCATAGTAGTAGAAGGAATCGTGGATTTGGATCATGGAAGTCGATTTGAAGGCCAGGTGTTGAAAGAACGAGATAGTACTATAGGAATTCCATTTGGATATGGTGAAATGTATGATGATAATGGATTCTTGGTGTACAAGGGCATAATGATCAATTGGAAACGATTTGGATATGGAACGAGTTATCATAATAATGGCGCAGTGGAATATGCAGGATATTGGTGTGATAACAAGCGATTTGGAAGTGGAAAAGTCTACAACCGTAAGGGTATATTGATAAAAGACTGTAATTGGCATAATGACAATGAATCCATCGTATATCAGGGAAATGGGGAGAAAATGTGTCTTGGAATTAGCAGCATGGTTCTAAGTGATAACTCAACTTGGGCAAAGTGGGATATTTCGTTGTTCTTTAATTTGGAATCTATCGAGGTTGGAAAGAATTGTTTCAAGTCAATCCAAACATTCAAAATTGACGGATTAAAGAATTTGAAACGATTGAAAATCAACAGAGGATCATTTACAAAAGTAGTAGAATCAGACTGGGACACTGTGTTCAATGAAGTCTTTGAGAAGGCAAATGACTTATCGAAGTCATTCCACATTATGAATTGTGAATCATTGGAATCCATTGATATATGTGAGCACAGCTTCTCTGATTTCGCTGGGAAATTCGAATTACTCAATTTACCCTCATTGCTATCTTTAAAAATCGGTCAAGTTGGTAGTGAGTCATGGAATTTTTATTATTGCTCCTTTGAATTAAAAGGTACTAATTGATATTCGTGTGTTTTGTAGATCTTCCAAACTTAATGTCGGTTCATTTGGGTGACTGGACATTTCGTTATGCATCCTTTATGTTGTTTGAAAGTAATATTATTGCATACTGTGCTATTAGATCTTCCCAAACTAGAGACAATAAGATTAGGGTATTGTTCTTTACGCGGAAAACATACTGATACATCATGTACGCTGATAATGCGGAGTATGTCTTATTAACCTTTACATATGTGCAGATCTTCCCAACTTGGTTTCTCTCACTTCCGTACTAAAGAGTTTGTGCTTGTTAAGAAGGGTTGTATTGCAAAGTAAAAAACACTATTGGGTAGATATTAGATATTCCAAACTTGAGAAATGTTCAATTGACTGATCCTTTTGAAAGAGTCATTGATTCGTTCGTTGAAAGTAGTCTTGGATCCATTTATAGATGTCATAGATGTCAATCCTTCACTTTCGAAATACTTTCCATCTCATGTTTATCATACCGATTTCATTGATTCTATTGAATCGAATATTCATTCTATTACACTTCCCAATTGGACTTGTAATGATATTGAATATACTACATTCGATTTTTCCCGATTTACTGTAATTGAATCAATTGTAATCGGTGATAATAGTTTTGGATCAGTACAAACATTTATTATTGATGGATTGAATCTACTAAAGAAATTGATTATCGGTATCAATTCATTTACTAAGCAAAAGAATGGCTATGGAAAGAGTAATGATCGATCATTCCATATATTGAATTGTGAATCATTGGAATCGATAGAAATTGGACAATATAGTTTTAGTGATTATGCTGGAGACTTTGAATTGAAGAATCTGCCACAATTACAGACCATTGAAATAGGTACAATAGGAGGTTATTCGTGCAATTTTTATCGTAGTTCATTTGTGATTCGAGGTATTGATATATATGATTGAGTATCTAAATGCATAGATCTTCCAAATCTCCAATCTATCGAATTAGGTGATGGAACATTCTTTGAGTCTTTATCGACTATAATCGAAAGTAATATTGATATTTTCAGAATGATTACAATAGATCTACCGAAATTGAATCATATAGAACTTGGTGAATCAGTTCTTGAAGGAGTGACTGAAAACGAATCATGTTCACTACTAATGAGCAGTATAAATGAACTATCGCATACTAATGAATACTAGATCTTCCAAATCTATCATCAATCACTTCCAGAGGCGATACTTTTTATAACCCTCGTAGAGTAACACTGGAGAGTATGAGAAAGTGGGATAATGCATAAAAATTAGATATTCCAAACTTGAGAAATGTTCAATTGACTGATCCTTTTGAAAGAGTCATTGATTCGTTCGTTGAAAGTAGTCTTGGATCCATTTATAGACGTCATAGATGTCAATCCTTCACTTTCGAAATACTTTCCATCTCATGTTTATCATACCGATTTCATTGATTCTATTGAATCGAATATTCATTCTATTACACTTCCCAATTGGACTTGTAATGATATTGAATATACTACATTCGATTTTTCCCGATTTACTGTAATTGAATCAATTGTAATCGGTGATAATAGTTTTGGATCAGTACAAACATTTATTATTGATGGATTGAATCTACTAAAGAAATTGATTATCGGTATCAATTCATTTACTAAAACAAAATATGGTTATGGGAAGAATAATAGTCGATCATTCCATATATTGAATTGTGAATCATTGGAATCGATAGAAATTGGACAATATAGTTTTAGTGATTATGCTGGAGACTTTGAATTGAAGAATCTGCCACAATTACAGACCATTGAAATAGGTACAATAGGAGGTTATTCGTGCAATTTTTATCGTAGTTCATTTGTGATTCGAGGTATTAATATATATGATTGAGTATCTAAATGCATAGATCTTCCAAATCTCCAATCTATCGAATTAGGTGATGGAACATTCTTTGAGTCTTTATCGACTATAATCGAAAGTAATATTGATATTTTGACAAGTGATTACAATAGATCTACCGAAATTGAATCATATAGAACTTGGTGAATCAGTTCTTGAAGGAGTGACTGAAAACGAATCATGTTCACTACTAATGAGCAGTATAAATGAACTATCGCACACTAATGAATACTAGATCTTCCAAATCTATCATCAATCACTTCTAGAGGTGATTGCTTTGAATATCCTCGTAGAGTAACACTGGAGAGTATGAGAAAGTGGGATAATGCATAAAAATTAGATATTCCAAACTTGATCAACCTAAAAATAGTCGGTTGCTTCCAAAATATTCGTTCAAGTCGAGTTTCGAGTAGTCAATGGCTATAATCCTGAGTTCTAGATGTTCCTCGTATACTTGCGGAACTTGTTCAAACGGAGTAAATCGGCTTTTGTCGTTCCAATATAAGATCTGTTCTTGTTCTTGTAGCTGTTTGTTTTTTATGTACATTATTTCGATCGATGTGTATAGATTTCATCATTATCATCATGGAATTCTCCCTGCTTTGCTTCTTATTCCTCTATCGAATCCATTTGGAATCTCATTAAACGATAATGACCCTCAAAACCATTATATGAGTTCTTGAACACTACTCCATATTTCAATACAATAGCATTCATTCATTCATTCATCTCTAAATGATTATTCTTCTATCCAAAACTATCTCTCCTCTCCTCTCTTTCTTTTCTTTTCTTTTTCATTCCATCGCATCGCTTTCCTCCAACAAACACAATCTCAACTATATTCCTTATTATCCTTCATATTCACAAATTTATACATGTGTTCACACAGCACACACACTCGTTGCGACTTATTATTCGCTCCCAGCACCAGCTTGCGCGGTGCGCATCGCTTACAAAACATAAATCGACAGAAATAACAAACACACGCCTTATGAAAACAGTCGAATTTTTCACTGCACAGATAGCAAGAGTCGCGGTAGATCCCTTCCTCGTCCTCGTAGCCCGTCTGCTCCAGCATGGCCAGTCGAGAGATCGAGAGGATCACGTATTGCTGCGAGTTAGCCAGGGAGACAGATCATTACGCGAAGATGCCGGATGAGGTTTGCATCTGCTTCGTAGAAGATTTGTAGCACTTTATTCCATTCGTTGATGATTTCTGTTTCATCTTGAACGGATGCGCGGTTTTGCCGGACCACGCGAGGACGACTTCGGACATAGCTGTGCTGCGGAACGAGCGGCTACGACTCAAAGCAAAAAGAAGAAATAAACGTTAATATACGATGCTATATACGAGCCTACCGTGGAAAACGACCCTCGCTCACCATCCGGATCGATCGGGATCGAATCGCTCCGATACTGCTGCTGCCGCCTCTTCAGCGTTTCGATCAATAAATCTTTGTGCTTTATTTCGTTTACGACTAGATTCGCAGATTCGCGTCAATTCCTACGGATTTCGGTGGGTTTATCGAGCTTTCGCTTCATAAAGTTTATTTCCTGGTTCAGTTCGCGAATCGTTTTTTCCTTTCCCTGAATCTCCACTTGGAGGTTGCGCATTCGAAAAACAAGTCGATCATTAGCTTCTTCTAAAAGCTGAATGCGCCGTTCTCTCTCCTTTATTTCCTCTTTCGCAGCCTTTAATTCTTGAAGAAGCACCTCTTCCTAGGGATAAACAAGCAAAATTAGCCACAACCTGTGGAGTATGAGGTTCGACTTGACATACTCCAAGGCTCTCACTCTTCCGGCTAAAATCGCGTGTAGAGCGGCTTGTCGAGTTCATGCCCTCTCGATAATCTCGATAGTCCACCTCTCGCTGCTGCCTTTCCCTACTTTCTTGAGAAGGTGATCTTCCCTATTTCTAATTTGACATTCAGCTTGGCTACCTCATTTTCATCATCAAGATCCAGACCATCCATCTCTAAAAACACATATACTGGTGCAATGGCAAAAATTCCCCCGATTTTCGTACTCTTTTTAACAAACAAATCAAACAATCGTCTGCACCAAAGGCATTGACATCAAATCGGCCGCTTCGAACTTCTCTACCATCTTCTTCTGCGACCGCCTACAAATCAGTCTCTCCTCCGACCCCCACTTCATTACCACAATCACAATCAGGCAGACGATCACCACCACCACGAGCACAGCCAGCGCCACCACCAGCCAGATCACATACCCCGGCCGTGGCGTCACCGGATCCACCGTGGGAGCCCACTCCACGTACCCCACCGCTTCATCATCATCGCTTCCATAACATTGTTTCTTATTCGCCGTAGCGAATCCCGTGCGCTCCTGGTCAAACACCGACACATACCCGCGCAGGAACGCCAGTCCGAGACCGATTTCCTCCTACTTCTTAATTAGGTGTCAAACAAACAACATTGTCCCAATTCCGAATCCCCAGCTGATATCCCGCCGACCACGAGGGGTCGCGCAGGAAATACTGTTCCGGTGGCAAATGGAATAGTATTCCGCTCACCAGAAAGTCCAGCGTGGGGTAATCCGTGACGTTCGCGATTGAAACGCCCAAGAAAACCGTTTCATCGGCTACATCTGGCGATAACCGCGGTTATTCGAGCCTACTGGGGATGTGTGAATAGTGTTTCATCATGTAGGATTTGAACTGGGTCCACAGTTCCTTTGGGAATAGTATTCTGTTTTGGTTGGATTTCAAAATTGCCACGTAGTTCGATTTTGCCGCCAAAAATGTCTGGTTGTTCAGACGCACGTCGAGGATGTCGTAAGTGTACCCTAATTCGTTCGGTCGCTGCGTGGTGTACAACATTTCGCCGTTCTGGAAAATACCCCCGATTTTTGGAATACCTGAAAACGACGGTCGTTGGAGCCGATAGCGAGAATACCGGTCGTGTAGCCGAAGCAGAGCGTGAAAAGGTCGGAGGCCCATGTGATGGACTCGTGGATGGAGGTGTAGATAGGGTCGATGCATGTCGGATTGCATGCCTTCTCTCCCATGCCTAAAATGCCTACGGCCGTTCCGGGGATCTGGTCAAACGTCGAATTCCTGGGGAATACACACACATCACGACTACAGCACATCGACAAAGTAGGCCTTAAAGCGGTTGCTGGAGAAGATGAACTCGTCCCTTACGATGGCGCCCTCCGCGTAGTACGAAGAGCCGAACCGACCGACATGAGAATCCCAGCCACAGCTCTCCGTTTCGAAATTAGCGCAGCATTGGCCGGACGGTGAGTGGTACAACGGGCAGAAGGCTTGGTTATCTGCACATTAGAGCGACCACGGATTTACGGTACTGGCGTCGCAATAGCTGTCATAACAACGTACCACCTCCTCTGTTTGAGATACCTCGCGATCGTATCTGGCTCCATCCTGAAGATCGCTAACCGGTCAAACGTGGCCTACTTTGCAGTTCTCACAGTTCACAGAAGGGATCAGAGTGGCAGACGTCTCAAGATCCTACGTTCAACGAAAATCGTACTTCGTACCAAGAACATCAGGAAAGATTGCAATGGACCTCCGGAAGGCTTTGTGCCAATATGGATATAGGTAGAGAAACCTCCTTCCTTCAGACCTCCAGTCAACTTCCATTCCAGAGGTTCAATAGCTTGGCTCACGACCAACTAGACGTAACCACACAGCCAAGTCTCGTACGAATGAGAGAAAAATAAAAAGCGCTTGCATTCCTAACCTTTTTTGAACTAAAATATAAAAGAGAACTTTTCGAATTTTTATATTTTTATATATTGTCAAGATGTCTCTGCCTGATACTGAAATCGCCCGACCGCTTATTGAGCCACCTGTGGACACGTCGGGAAGCTCGAAATCTGATATGAGGAGGTATCTGTGTGCCTCAAGACTTGTGACCTATGTTATTGATATTTCGTATGTACTCTGTGGAATTGACACTGGATTTTTCGGGAATGGTGGGTATGAGAGGCTTGATTGACAGGTAGAACTGTTTTCCTTTGACTTTTTGTCAATTTCATTCACTACTTCTTGTGTACGTACCATTCTGCTATGTACCTATTCTCTAGTACATTGTCTGCTTTGTGTTAGGGTGTCTTCTTTACTCTACACTCTATCGCTGTGTATCAGAGCGAGTCATCTTTCCGTTGTGCTACTTAATGTACATCGGTAGTATCGTTCTTTACTACATTAACAAACAATCAACTGCCGCTTGTATTCTTCATTCGTTCCTCTCACTTACTCTCTAGCTCGCTCCATCCAAGGCTTTACCATTGGGATCCTCGTACCCTGGACATTTCAAATCAAGTTCGATCTTACTACCTCTACCAATCGCTTCCAATACTCCTTTCTCACCTTTGTCACTCTTGCAGGCTGTTATTTCATGGGCTATCTGCTCCGTCTTGTGGGCAGTGTTCTCGAAATCAAACTCTTTTCAGGCCTTGCAGGCGCTTTGTGCCTTCTTGGCTGCCTCACGGCCTTTTGCGTCACTACACCTTTACGACTCCTACACCGCCAATACAAACAACTTAAAGAGAATTCACAAGACAAAACGCCATTATTGAATGATGACATGATCACGGCACTCTTACAAACAATTGAAGTGTACTACCTCCGCGACCACGAATATGCTCTCGAATCTTTTCTTATGCTCTTCTCCATCGAAGCAAACGATTTTGATCATCCAGGAAACCACTTTAAGGATGCCGTGCGCGCCTCCTGGTTGCTTTGGATATTCTCGCTTCTGGCGCTCACTGTAATGTTCGATTGTGATTTTTCTATCATCCAGACATTTCCCTCCATGATCATTTCGGAAGCTCTTCCACTTCTTCTTCGCCATGTCCTGCCATCCGTGTCAGACTCGTTCTACAGTGACGTTGCGATCTACTTCGCGATTCTGCTGGTCATGACTGCCTTGTTTTGTGCTGCCACAAAGAGGCGTGGCCAGAACCTCCTGCATTTTTCTATATGGGCTTTAACGATTTGCCTGTTGATAGCCACCGTAATGTGCATTTTTGACTACACCAGCATCTCATCTCCTTTGGTCAGTACACTAAAGGCAGTTTTCTTGCTGATTGCTCAAGTCTTGTTCTTCTCGCTGTGTCTACCCCTCATTGCGGTATATCTGACTGGAACGTTCCCCATTTTTACTCGCGAACGTTATTTGGGGATTGCTGCTGCTTGTATTTACGTTTTAATCATTCTCAATTATCCGCTCAACACGCTGATTAACCAACTCTTGGAATCTTCGATTGTATCCTATGCAGTTCCAGCGATCGTCTTCCTTCTGTACAGCTGTCTGTTCCGCAGGATCCATAGGGAGGGATCATCGAACGAAGTAATCGATAAGTATATGGAGAACCCATTGTAACTTGTTTATTAACGATATAAGGAGAACGAAAACAGAGCTCGAATAGCTCAGCTGGTTAGAGCGTCGTGCTAATAACGCGAAGGTCTTGGGTTCGATCCCCAGTTTGAGCACTTTTTTGCTTCTTTTTTATTTACATTTCTTTTTGAAATGAATGAATGTGCTCTCTCTTTTTTCCAAACAATAGAATTCATCACTTTGATCCAAACAAACAAACAAACAAACATGTAAGCAACAATTTGTAAATCACACTAACACACGATCCGTCCCTTCCAGTCTTTCTACTCTGCTCTGCTGCCGCCATTCATCTGCCCCAGAGTCTGCATCCCGCTGTTTTCTCCCTTCGTACCCTACGCCTCATTCCTCCTCTCCTCCCCCACAATCTGCTCCACGTCCTTCATAATACTCGCAAACAACTCCGGATCCATCTACACAAAAAACCTTCCTTCCTTCCCCACATTCCCCATCAACTCCTTCCACTCGCTTCCTTCCTCCGCCTTCTCTCCGTTTCCACTACCATCTCCAGTACCCGAACCATCCAATGGACCCGATGGACCTGATGGACCCGATGAGCCTGATGGACCCGATGGACCCAATGGACCCAATGGACCTGATGGATTGGCAGCACTGATCGAAGCAGAAGTGGAAACGGAGTTCGATCCCGTCGATGAGCGCAACGACCCTCGAAGCGTCGCTTCTTCGCCCAGTCCCTCTTTTCCCGCCAAAATCGACGTCGTCAACGGAGCGGACGAACCGCCCAGCAGCGAAGGGGGAATCGGAGAAACCGTGGAAACCGTGGAATCCAGGTGCGTCGACCCCGCGTTGGATGGAACGCCCGAAACGCCCGAAACTCCCGAAAGCGTGGAAACGCCGTTCCCTGAATTCGTGGAAACCGTGGAAACCGTGGAAACCGTGGAAGCAATCGAGCCCATCGGGATCAGCGGAGGCTGCTGTCCCGCGGGGAGCGCCGACCCGATCGAAACGCCCTGCTGCGTAGTAACCGTAGAAACCGTAGAAACCGCAGATCCGGTGGTTCCAGGATTGGCGTTGATTCCCGCGGGGATGTTTTGGAAGTCAGCGGGAGGCGGCATGGGCAGAATGGAGGGGGAATCGCGGGTGCGCTCGGTTTCGAATTTGGATGCGAAAAAAATGGATTGGGGGACTCGAACCGGGGACACGGAGTCGGTGAGGACTGGAGAATGAAGGAGAGAGAGAGAGAAGAGTACAGAGCGTGGAGGAGAGCTGAGAGGATTGGCTGCGTGTGAGTGTGTGGGCTGAAAAGAAGTGAAAATGTGCGGAGTACTGTGGAGGAAGGCTTCGACGAACGCGTTATAGCTGGCTTGCGCGGGGGACGACACGCACAACAAGCGGAGCTGCGTGAACGGGTTCTGTGAATAAAGAAAATTTAATGAGAAGCGACCAAAGAGAAGGAATCCTCGATGGGTCGCGTGGAAAGTGGTTTGCGAGGCCTTCTAAATCATGGAGTTCGAATCGAACGGCCACTTGTGTTCCGCGGTTATCGACTGTCTGCGCTGCACGTGGACGGAAGTGGTGGAAAGAGCGTCGTTCTGATTGGGCAACGCGTCGGACGTTTCCGAAATGAACAAAAAAAGTTTGCAGAAAATGTAAATCGAGAACACCATTAAAAGTAACGCCAAAATCGATAGCGTCGTTGTGAGGATTCCCGCGGTTATCGGCATCGTCGTCTGAAATTGGTTAAGAAGTAGCTGGTATTTCTGGAAATCCAGGGAGCCAATGAATTGGTCGAATTTGGCGGGAACGCGAAGAAGCCACGAAGCGAAGGAAAGCAAAATTCGCTTGACGAAGTCGCAGAACTGCGTCCAATAAACGCTCAACTCGATTGGAGAGCCAGAAATAACCGCGGGTTTGATCGACATCACTTTGGTTTCGAAGGGAAATGACATGGTGCTGAAGACGCTGTAAATGTAGGCTCCCGCGACAATGAGAACGGGGAGGAAGTAGAAGAAATTCTGGACAGGAGAGCTGGAGGAGGAAGAAGAAGAAGAAGAAGAAGAAGAAGACGCAGAAGAAGCAGACGCAGCATTAGAAGCAGAAGACAAAGAAATAACAGATGCATTCTTTGACGATTTTGCTACACTACGTAAACTGGTACTAGAATTGATTTTTCTATACAATGGAAAATAGAAATTATTAGATACCGCAACGAACCCGAAAAACGGTAATGACTTCCTCCCTTTGATGTTTTGCTACAAATAGTATATATAAAATCCAACTCTACGATGGTTTCACCTTTCCATTCTTTAACTATGCGTAAGACTGAAAAAACACAGATTCTTACCTGTTTCTCTTCCGCAGCTCCGAGAGAAACCAAGAAGAGGAAAAACAAAAAGACCACAGTGAGAACACGCGAAGTAAACAAAGATCGCAGAATGGTGAATATCAACGAGAATAACGTTTGAATTAGTTCACCAATCATAAGATCCAATCAATCCGAATAAAAAAGAATCTGTCTTACAAAAAAGAATGAAAAACAGTTCGTTGAAAAACAAACAACAAATAGAAAACAGAAATTAATGTGTCAACGAATCCAGTGTAGTATCGATAAAAGACTTTAACTGCTCATGGCAGGATTCTACACAGCTTACACAAAACTAGTTTTCCTACGATATGTGTGTATAGCAGTAATCAGTTCACCTGTAATCTGCTTATTCTTTTCGCTCAGCTCCTCGATTTCAGTCAACTGCTGTCTACAATGTATATCTTCCCTCTAGGAAAAATAGATACGACTCTGTTTTATGGAATTCTTCAAGTGAATCAATCAATGTCTTAAAACGATCTTTTGAGTTTTTCAGCAGCTCCATTTGTTGATCAGCCTACAATATTTGCGAAAGAAAAAGGGAAACCTTCGTAATGTGTTCATTTACAACGCTTTCGTTTGAATCTGTTGCCATAGGACACTGACGCAAGCTTTCTTCAACGATCACTTGCATCTGCCGAAGAAACCACATAGTCAGCTCTTGGAGTTCCGATATGGGATCAATTGGAGCAGGATTCTGCATCGCTCAATATTCTAAATGAATAGAAATGAGAGTAAGAACAAAAGATGAGGAAAACGATTATTCTGATATTGTTGTCTGTTCGAAATGAGTTATCTAATGTAGATAATACTTTTTCTGGAGTGCATGCTGCTCATCCATATGTAGAGTGTGCTTTTTACTGCTTTTTGTAAATGTGTTTTCCAGTATATATTTGGTTATTCGTTTTAGTGTAGATACGGTAGAGATACTGACAAGCGCGAATTTTGATGAAAAAGTGTTACAATCCAGTTCTGGCAAGTGGTTTGTGAAATTCTATGCCCCTGTATATACGAATTTTCTCCTATAAACTTGTAGTGGTGTCCTCATTGCATGGAATTATCTCCTGTCTGGAATCAGTTGGCCGAGATTGTTCCGGATTCGATCCATATTGCTGAAGTAGAATGCTTGCCATTTCGTTTATTAGATTGACGGATCGCAGAACCAAGATGTTTTCAGCCGCTATAATCTTCATTCGATTCCGACTTTGCTTTTATTTATCAATGTATACTTTTTTCTACTCATTTGAATTATTCAGGGGACCTATATCGAGTATGACAAAGATCGGGATTTGTTCTCTTTGTATTCCTTCGTCAGATTCTCCCAATTGAACGAGAAGGGAGTGATTTCTCCATACTACAGATTAACAGTGATTTCCATAGTAAAAGTTGGAATGATTGGAGGGGCTGAGCGGTAGAAGATGATCGAATTGGCAAGTTGGTTCTTAGGACAGCATATTTTTATTATGTTTGGACTCCTCTTCATGCTCGGTCTGTTGATTGGGATGATGGGAACGTTGCTTGTTCGCGATTGCACGAGTAATGACACTTATGATGAAATGGATGAAATTCCAGAGGAAAAGGAGAAAGCGGAGTTTGTTGTTTGTTGGAAAAACAGTATGGAAGATCACCTAAAGTGGAGGTGAGTCATGAATGACTGGCTCTAGAAAAAACAGAATATGACTTTGCAATAAACAATAAAAACTCGTAAAGGATAATACACATCTATTCTTCAAACTTCTTGCTATCCGTTTCAGAACGCTCAGAAGGAGCAACTCCGAAAAACTCATTTCTCTTCGCAAAGTACCATCTTCTGATCTTATTGTAAAGATAATAATACTAAACTTACAGGAGAAAATACATTTTCGCCATGAGACTCATCAAATGGTACATACATAAGACAGTAAAATCCAGCACCTGTAGTTCATTAAGAGTATACAAGAATACCAAGTGTTAAAAAGGTAGTTACCAATCTCAGTACTCGCGTTCCTCTAGCCCCTAAAAAGGTCCCTGCTCGCTTATATTCCTTAACAATTGGTGCTTTTTCCACCATATTGATTGCAGTAAAAAGAATTTGTACAGAGATGATTTGAAGAGGTTGTGGAATTGGGCTAGTGGATTGTTCGAGTATCATCTGTGAAACCCAGGATATTATTTGCACAAAGCAGATCTCATTTCATTAGATACGATAGCTATGTTTTTAAGTAATAGAGCACACATTATTATTGGTGAAGTATTTGATTATTCCAAAATATAAACAATAGGGAAGGATTTTGAAGGGAGTTGATAAATGTTAATATTTGCTCTGTTTTCCCTATTTTCTTGTGGTTCTATGGAACAATGGTCAATATCATACCGTAATCTTCATTCTTCTTCTTTGTGAATATTACTCTAATATCGATATAACCAGTGTGGTGTACTTAATAGTAGACCACAGATCTGAAACTTCTAGAAACTTCTAGAAACTTCTAGAACCATCGAGAAGCTTTTTCTTCGATTTAGGTGAATTTACATAATTTATTTGATTGATTTACCTTAAGTGAGTGATAATAATAATGAGCATTATATTCCGTGATCCTTTCTTTGATGGTTTTGATGATCTTCTCGTTTCGACTTATCCCAGACAGAATGACTTGGATTCTTGGTTTGATGATGGAATTCGACGTGATGTGATTACTCCGTTCAGTGGATTTGGTCGAATGGACATGAAAGAGAACGAGAAAGAGTATGAAATGAGTGTGGATCTGCCTGGAATGGATAAGAGTGAAATCAAAATGCATGTTGAAGATAATGGACTTGTGATTGAAGGAGAACGAAAGAGTGAAAAGAAAGAAGAGAAGGACAAATATCATTTCTGTGAGCGTCACTTCGGTTCTTTCCATCGTGAAGTATCTCTTCCTAAGAATGCGAATGTGGATGGTATAAATGCGATGTATGAAAACGGAGTATTGAAAGTGGTGATTCCCAAAAAGGAAGAGAGCGCCCAAAAGAAACAGATTTGTGTGAATTAAGTGTATAAATAGTGTGATTTGATATTGATTGTTTGTTTGTTAGTAAACTATTCAAAACTCAAACTAAAAGGGATTTGTATATCTTTACAAAACTATGAATGAATTGTATATTGAATCATTTACCATTGCTTTATAAGAAGGGATCATGTAGTTTGAAAGATACTCTATTTGTTGAGATTGAATACAATCGAATAATGATGGATTGTCTTGATTTCTCCTCAATAACACTTTGATTTCAATGTTTTGTAACACATAGAACCAGGAATATACTATATATACATATATACATATACATTGTATAAATCATTCAGTTCACAATAACACAATAATCTATACTATATATCTAGATTGGTATTCATTACATAATTCCATCAATAATCACAATCGATGTTTTTTCTACTCATTGTACAATGATTCATATGATAGTTACACATGTCGCTTCCTTAACACATGACACTTCTTCCAAAGCAACAAATGAATAACGGAAGATATCTAGCCAAAAACTATCGGTTCTTTGACACTCGTATATTCAGTAAATCATGTATCGAAGGTAATATATAAGAATAATGCACCGTGAAACATTCACTTCCTTGATAAACAAACATTCCATTCTCAATATCAATATACAAGCATTATAATCCTTATTACATGAATATTGCAGACCATCGATCATTCGCTTCATATACAAAGCGCCACCGTTTCGCATATTCCACTGCATCCCGTACAGCAGAAAGCATTTTGAACTGAGGAGGATTTACACTGTGTTCAAGATAACTTCTTCGAACATAATAGAATTTGCCATCCTCATAGGCATTCTCTGCATCTTTCCACATCCTCTTCACTTTGCCATTTGGAACAAAACTTGAAACCATGATATAGTGCAAACGGGAAAACATTGCAGTGTTGGAATACCACAATTCATAGAAATATGGCGGATAACACTCAATGACCGCTGTATGAGGAACTGAAAAAATGAGATTGATGAAGCTTGCGCTATGCGGAGAAACCACAATATCCGAATCATAGAAGAGTTGTAATTGTTCTTTAAATGATAATCCTTCCATATTCTCATAAGAAACGACAAGTTCCTACCAATGAAACTTGAAACTTGGTCTTACCTTAAAATGCGAAGAAATAATCTCAACCCAGGTACTATGCAATGTGAAACCTCGAATATTCTTTCGATCAACGATCAGCAAAGCGAGCCGAGGCGGCTCGTTATGTCTTGATTGAACATTCGCATGGCGCCAAGCAGTTGCTTTTATGAGATCTTGAGGGAAAAAGCCAGCAAATAACGCTCCATCCATATGGAATCGAACGCGATCGGCCAACACCTAGAGTCGTTATCCCAGCATCATGAAAAGCTACAGCTGATCGGAAGCACGTGGTACGAGTCAACGAAATACTGTTCGCTATATGAACGGCAGGTTTGAAATTCTCTGGAAATAAGCTCAAAACTAACTGTAGATAGGTTTTGGACCATTCAAAGTCGTTCTCAGTAAACTGGGGAATATAGATGTCGGTAAGAGGAGGATAAAAAGAAGGATATCGAAGCTTGAGCAAAGCGTGATTGAGAGATTCCGCGAAATGACCGATGTGACGTAATTGGCAGGGCTTAAATACATAATAATACCCTTTTTCTATCCATTTTGCTTTCTTTGGAAGTCTTTGTTTGCGTGTTTTCAGCTTATGACTATATCGAAAGCCTATTCAATCATTTTATTTGGTAGAATTCGATACTTTGATCATCGGGATATTGAAAGTTCATTGATCCTGACTTGAGGAATATTATCCATGTGAATGAAGAATCCATACATATATTATGCGCATCCAAAAATGGACTGTCAGTCTTGTTAACAAAACGAATTGTGGCAGTCGAGTACTTGCTCTGTCGAAATTGGGAATTTGTAAAATTGCGATTCTTCTCTCTACAAATGAAGTCTCTTTTTGGCAACTACGATTGGAAATAATTATTTCTTACTCTTTCCAACATATTTAGGAAGGACTGCTCCCTACAATTGAGCCCATTACGTTATCTTACCAGACATCTCGCTGATACGAGAAAGCCTTCGTACCCCATTGATCCTCGTTCGGAATAAGCTTTGACAATATCACATGAGACGAATAAAGTTTAAAATTCACATGTATATCAAAGAGAATAGAAGAAGGAACAATATTCATGAGAAGTCCATATTCTTCAATGAACCCAATTTCACTGGAGGTAATTCTTGTGTTGTTATCCATATGAGGCGATATTGCAGCAACTTGGTTGTTTTGCCGTAATTCCTTTATATTTGACACGGAAGAAGTAGCGGCAGTCTTTACCTTTCTCATAGAAAACAAGAGACATTCAAATTTATCTCTATAATGATAATTCTGAAAGACTTTGTTAGAAATGCTAGAAATAAATAAAGCTACTGCGTAACATAATATTATTAGCAAAAAAAGACCAATTCTGAACATAACTTAGAACGTAAAATAAGAATAACTACCTAATTTTCACATAATAAATAAATCTGATTAATAGTACATACAGATTAGAATGTATTGTTAGCACAATTTCAGGGATAGCATTAAGAGGAATAGAAGTAATATTATTATTATTGTTTCTACTAAGTATATAATGGAAGTTTGAGGTCAAGAATTCTATTACACATTTACTATGCTTTTGTATGTGCTTTCGTTTTAATCACATTTCTTCACTCTATTAGTCTTAAACGCTATTTATTACTCACAACTATATCTGTTTCTAGCATAGTCATTTGAAATATGCATTACTCCTATTTTCCTAAATATGTCAAATACAAAGGGAAGTACACATTATTATCACCACAATTCATGATACAACACAGGAAAAGAGTTGCCATGTGATATACTATCTTCCTAAATCGAAGAATATAGAACATAGGTTATGTAGAATGGCGTTTGATGAGGGAAAACGAACCTACAATCCATTCTACATAATTGCACCACATTTGTCATAGGCTGCAATTATGTACTTAATTAATATCCACAACCTTTACTATAAGCCTATTTCGATAACTGCACGTATAGATAGGATCATTTAGGTGATGAAACATAAAAAACAGCAATAGCATACAACTATCAATGGTTTTGTCATCATTGTCATAGGGACAAAAATGCCTATTTCGCCCCAAACGGGAGATTATTGACTATCTACAAAATCGGCTTTAAATTGGCATATATTTCTTTATGTGTTACACACGGCTTTCATCCCTATCAATCGCAGAAATCCGAAAATTATGTCCATGTTAAACAAGTTTTTCTTATAATTTCGTACTCATCGTACAGTATTTTGAACATGATCCACTTTTGTATGAGAGAGTCATCGGATGTGTGGAAAGCACTTGTAATCGTTATGATTAAATATTAGAAATACAAAAACACACGAATTGATTAGAATTACAAAAGTCAATAAACGACTCAATATTATTTATTAATAATCGCTTATGTCATTACAATAAGAAGAATCACTTAGAAAAATATGGTATTTCAACAAAGTCAAAAGCGAATAAGAAAACATTGTCTTTAATTACTATTAACTATACAGATATGTTCTAATTCAACACTTATACATATTCATAGAAGAACCAAATATACATGCCAAGTTTGTGAACCAGTCTTTGTTCGAGTAGAATTATCATATGTGTTACAAATTATTACACATTATATTTCATACATTCATAAAATTACCAGATCTTTCACCTTCTAGTAAATTCCCGAATGTTCCAAACAATTCTAGATCATTCCCAATCCTGTACTTACTTACTTTTCATTATTTATTTAATTGATTGATTTACCTTAAGTGAGTGATAATAATAATGAGCATTATATTCCGTGATCCTTTCTTTGATGGTTTTGATGATCTTCTCGTTTCGACTTATCCCAGACAGAATGACTTGGATTCTTGGTTTGATGATGGAATTCGACGTGATGTGATTACTCCGTTCAGTGGATTTGGTCGAATGGACATGAAAGAGAACGAGAAAGAGTATGAAATGAGTGTGGATCTGCCTGGAATGGACAAGAGTGAAATCAAAATGCATGTTGAAGATAATGGACTTGTGATTGAAGGAGAACGAAAGAGTGAAAAGAAAGAAGAGAAGGACAAATATCATTTCTGTGAGCGTCACTTCGGTTCTTTCCATCGTGAAGTATCTCTTCCTAAGAATGCGAATGTGGATGGTATAAATGCGATGTATGAAAACGGAGTATTGAAAGTGGTAATTCCCAAAAAGGAAGAGAGCGCCCAAAAGAAACAGATTTGTGTGAATTAAGTGTATAAATAGTTTGATTTGATATTGATTGTTTGATTGATTGTTTGTTTGTTAGAAAAGACTCTCTTGCAGATTAATTTTATAATACTTGTGGGTATTTAATTATAGTGACGAAGAGTATTAGCCATGTGAGATACGAGCTGCTCACTCTTTGACGAAAGTATATTCAATAATCACTTAATGTAAATTTCTCCTCTTATGCAAAACATTCAAAAGGTGAAATATCGTTTGGGATTTTGTGAACCATCACCAAAAAGAATTAGGTATACACCAATCTATCACACTATATAGGTTATTATAGTTATATACCAAGCATAAAGGCAATATAGAAGGGAAAACAAAACATGTGACAAGAAATGAAAGAATGTGTATTTTGTGTGATAAATGAAAGCAATAACTATGCTGGAATACTATCTATTCGCAAAATAGGTTCATGTAAAAGAATAGTATCAATGGCATAGTTATCTTAATTCTATTCATTGGATAAAGATATATCACGATAGAATTACTAATTATCTTTTCATATCAAGTGTTACTTTAAGGTTATGACCAAGCTGACAAAATATGCTATGTTTATGGAATTCCAAAATTAAAACTAAAGGGAAGAATCAGATATATCTGGAAATCATTATTTCTTTTAGTATGGTCAACAATTTACGTTGTATACATACAGAAATATCGCTCATAATATAGACTCGTCAAGACAACCCAGAGAATCAAGGTATTTACTCAACGATTACACTATCTCTCAAAAGAAGATCATTTCCATTAATGGAGAGGAATATGAAGTAACCCTATATCAAGGAGATCATTCCAATGAATATTTGTTGAGTGAAATGAAAAATGGTAAAGTTGAAGGTCGATGTCAATTATTCAATCGTGGAATTTTGATTCTTGCATGGATGATGAAAAATGGTAAACGAATTGGTGGAGTGACAGAATATGAAAATGGTAAAGCATTACAAAGAGAAAACTGGGATTCGATTGTTGGACATGATGGAAATCGCAGAATAATCGAAAATAGTAAAGAAGGATTAATCATGACAATTCGATGTAAGTGTGAAAATGATGGAGAGAATGGTGATGATGATGATATGGTGATTTATCGAGGTGGATTTGATGAAGAAATGAATCGAGATGGTTATGGAATCGAATATGATAGAAATGATGGTAAAGAGAAGATTGAAGGATATTGGTTGAAAGACAAATTGATTCGAATGATTCGTGAATTTGATGTTGATAATAACCAAATGATCGAATATGCTGAAGACAAAGATAAGAATGGAAATGTGGAAATATTAAATCGCATTCCAATGTATATAGGAGGATATAGTATTGAAAATAGTAAATATGTTCGAAATGGATTGGGATATTTGCTTGATGAAAGTAGTGGAACAGCAATTCGTGAAAGTGAATGGGAACATGGTTTAGAGAAGAAACATGGAATTGACTTGTATGAAGGTTGGTATGTGAAAGGAATGAATGAAAGTATTCGAAGTGTATTGAAGAATGAAAATCCAAGAGAATTGAAGAACGATAATCCATATATAATGAAGAATGATCATGGATATTTAGTGAAGAGTGAGGATTTAACAGAACTGAAGAATGAAGATCGAAGTGAAAGGAAACATGATGATCCAATTGACATGATGAAAGAAAATCCAAGAAAAATGAAAAGTGAATCACTTGTGAATGTGCCTATGAAACGAATGGAAATCCACAATAGTTCTGAATTGAATGAAATGGATTTGGAAGTGACTGAATTGGTGATATGTTCGAATAGTTGTAATGACATGAATGAATTGAATCTGAATCGATTTGAATGGTTGGAATCAATGGAAATAGGTGATGATTGTTTTGGTTCAGTACAAACGTTGAAAATGGATGGATTGAATCGATTGAAAAGTCTGAAAATCGGAAGCAATTCGTTTACTCAGACAAAGAATGGTTATAGAAATGACCAGTCGAAATCATTCCACATATTGAATTGTGAATCATTGGAAAGGATGGAGATCGGCCGTTACAGTTTTAGTGATTTTGGCGGCGACTTTGAATTGAAGAATTGTCCACAATTACAATCCATTCAAATAGGCACAATTGGAAGCAGTTCGTTTAATTTCTTTTATAGTTCGTTTGTGATTCGAGGTATTGAACTGATATTGAAAATGAATAATGCATAGATCTTCCAAATCTACAATCCATTACTTTGGGTTATTATTCCTTTGAAGAATCCAAATCGACAATAATTGAAAGTACTGCATAGTTAAAAATGAAATGATTGAAATAGATCTTCCATCACTGCAGCAATTAGAACTAGATTTTGGTGCGCTTTGTGGAGAGTATAGTGAATCCTGTTCATTGATCATGCGAAGTAATAATGAGATAACTGGAAATGATTGAATGTAGACCTTCCTAATCTAACATCTATATATTCTAAGGAATATAGTTTCTATAATCCTCATTCATTGATATTGGAAAGTAGTTCTATTTAATAATTGTTCATAGTTCTAGATATTCCAAATCTACAGAACGTTTATTTGCCTGAAGCATTCCAAAAAGTTGAATCCAAATCAATGTCGAGTCGTGTTTTACTGAATTGTTTTTATCCATAGATGTATCAGCTATTTTAATCAAGTTATTACCTGATCTAGAATGAAATGGGCTATTGCCTAAAAGGAAATGAAGTTCTATCAATTCAGGCCACGGTAATAAACTTTGAATGTCGACTACTGTTATGTATTCTATTTGTTATTAATGAACTCGTGTAATTGCTTCAAGATAAATATATGTATCTTTCTATTTTCGAATAATACAATCCACTATGAATGAAGTCATTGTATCACACTATATACTCCAATGTTCCATCATAATTCCTTTTTTGTTTGAAAGCACCTATATTGTAATGTGCTTTTCAAGAGAGAGACAATACCATATTCTTTCCCTCTGCCTTACGTTTTCCATGGTTTGTATACACTATTTCACAGTTCTTCATTCACTGTTTGACCAACATAACCTTTTCTCCTTTTATTCACTATTTTCTTATTATTATGTGCAGCATCACCAAAAGGTAAGTTTTCGTGCTATTAATTGGATTGAATATGCAGAAGAACGAGTATTGGCCACATGGAGTCGTTGTGGTACTCATGTCGTTTTCTTGGGTCAAATGACCGGGGATGATTCTGCAATAGAGAACGTTTATACTGGATTGATGGGAATAGCGTTTCCTAACAATCAAAGGCTAAACGAGCAATTCTAATATTTTTGTAGAACAAACAGTTTACAGCTCATCGGAATCACTTGCAGAAGGCCGAGAAATCATCGACCACAGGACTTCAGTCATGATCTCGGGTCCTACCGGATTTATGAACTGCAGATCATCTATCACGCTTCCTATCCCGTAGATTGCGAGCGTTTTCCCATCAGGCAGTTTCCAAGCCATGCACACCTTTTCCTCTTTGTCGTTCCGTAGTTCATAGAGAACACTCCAATCATGTGGAAAACGAGTGACTGTTAGATACGATGAGATTCGCCGCAACACCTTTGTTTTATGCGAGACATTGCACTGTGTTGTGTGGAACATTGTTCCAACTCCCAATTTCCTAAGAAATTGTTGTAGAACGAAGGTCTGTGCCTTCTGAATGCCGGCAACCAGCACGCTATTTCCTTCACACGCTTCGAAACACACCTGAATCGGCGAGGGAAAGGTCGAGTTCGCCGAGAGAACATTCACGATAAAGTGCTTTGCTAGCGTTCTATAAAGTGTGAAATAGTTTGTAAACGCTGAATCCCCATTGCTATTCAGCGTGTCTCCCTTTCTCGCCTCTCTCCACCCCACAACCGGCAGCTTCCTTCTCTCCATTTTCACTTCAATCAACAAAACCTCTCCATTCACTCGCACTTCACAACGTGCGTCCTGCTCTACTCGTTGAGGCACGATTTCCACGGTTAATTCGTGAACAAACGCAGCCACAAGTCTGTCTTCGACTGCAATCTACGCCTCATTTTCTCTCTCGAACCATTCCACCCAATCGCACGGGTTCCCTATTTCCACCGAAGCGTTCGCTCGAATTGTAAACACTCGCACGATCGCTCGCAGAGGCGCGCTCTGCCTCGTTCTACGTCGTTATTCCCAACAAACAGCTCAACAATCCGCTTCCAAAATAGGGAAACTCCTCACTCGGAACGCGGAACACATTCGGAAACACACAACTTCCATGCAGGCGACACCGCAACGCTCCCAGCGACCATCCACCTCCAGTTTCTCCAGTTTCTCCAGTTTCTCCTTTTCGTTTCTCCATTGTTAGCGCGGCGAACGCAGCGAAAAGCGGGGCTGCGATGCTGCTTCCCGACACTTCGTGGCACTTCCCCGCGGGATTCAAAACCGGGATTTTGTACCCCGCGATCCAAAATTCGGGGAGTAATTTTTGGGTGAAATGGGTGCGAAAACCGCGGGACGCGCTTCCTAGAAATGTGTTTTGATTGGTCAGCGCGCCGATACTGATAACCGCGGGATGGTCGGCAGGCGACAGGACCGACCCGCGGGGAGGACCATCGTTTCCTGCGGCTGCAAAAATGAGTTTGTGATGGGTGGAAGCTAATTGGTGGATTGTGCGGAAAATGGCGGGAAAATTCAAATCCCGCCCTCCAATAGAAAGGATCAGAATGGAGCAAGGAAGGGTGGAGGTGTGGTTTAAAGCGTTTAGGAGGGAAGAAGTGGGTATTTCTGAGGGGAAATGGGGGAAATGGGGAAACCTCCGCGGGAATCAACGACTTTGAGGGAGATGAGGCGGGAGGCTGGGAGAACGCCCGGGCATTGTGGATGAGTGCTTCCCAAAATCTGAGTGTTAGGAATAGAATGTAGAATCGAACAGAGAGAGTGGAGATGCCGTGATCATGATAATCGTTCGGATCATTGTCTGTTGTGAAATCATAGGATTCGACAACGTGATTAAAATAGGAAGAATCGCTCGGGGAAGACCCCGAGTCAATCACACAGATCGTTTGTCCTTCTCCTTCACTTTATTCAATTCCTTATCAATTACCAAAGTATCCGTCCTGATGAAATTGGTCAAATCCACCTTGCTTTAAAAACGACATATCTACATTCCTATTCACCTACATAACATACCGAATTCACTTGATGTTCCATGTGAATATGTTTGCACAAAAATAAATGTCAACAGCAGGAACAAAAGCCTATTACAAGATTGTCGTGCAACTACTATAAATTAGTATAAGATGTCCATGATCACATACAGTTCATCATTCAAATATGACTATTTCCAACATTCTTTTGACATTATAGTTTAACTTTTTCGTTAAAAAATGGGTTGTGCCGGCTCAAAGCTTGTATGGAGTGCATATAATATTAGTAATAGAGTAGAGTGATTATGACGTTGATCAACGTCGTTTTGAAAGTTTCATAGAAAATCATACTGGAAAATATAGTGATGAAGAAATTGCTCTGGTGAATGGCTATCTTTCCAAATACGAGGAGATTTACGAACGTTTGAAAAACGTGATGCAATCGGTGGCCGATCGTCTGAATGGGAAGGACCCCGTTGTCGTGTACACCCCATCCCCGGAGGATCTTGCCTTTTCCCATCTTTCCGGTGTTATGAAGAAATTGAAGCAAAATATGAAGAGAGTAGTAGTAGTATCTGTATGATATTGTAGTATACAAACGAAGAGACACATTACATGCAACTGGCAAAAGAAAATCGTTCTAATGATGTATTTCTGTTGTTGTGTGAATGAATTTTGTAGGAAAAATGCAAATTGTATCTTCATTATGTGAGGTACGCTTTGTAGATGATTTTGATACATAGTCGCTGCAGAAAGATGACAGAGGCGGTGAACAGCCGAATGATGATGATTGAGCAGAAAGTTGAGCAATTGCAGGAAACGACCTGTTCTTTCGACATGGCGTTATCGATGCAGGAAGTGGCAAACAATCTAGAAAGCCTTCAAGAAGACATGGGCGGCGTGGAAGAGTTCGAAGCGGTGATGGACAAGATGCGTTTGTTGGACCAGGATTTGGAGGATATGGATATGAAGATCGATGAGATGACAGACGATATAGAATATGAGGATTATTTGGATGAATTGGATGCGATGGAGGAGGAGGAGGCGAAGAGACAAACTGCTCAACTTCCGGAGGCGCCGACGACCATGCCGAAGGTGAAGGAGGTGAAAATGAAGGAGAAGGAGAGAGTGGCGGAACTTAATTGGATTGTTTGTTGGATACGAGCAAAGAGAAACGAGATGGGAGAGTTGGGTAAATGAGGGAAGAGAACAGGCAGTATTGGATTACAAATCCACAGATTTATAGATTACTTGAACAGAGATACACAAACAATTGTTTGAGTCGTAATTCCTCACAAACACATCAGCTTCTATTTTTTCAAGGTTTGTCTGCATAGTTGGACCCTTCACTCACATGGCTAGCAGACTCTGCATCTTGGCATGATACCGATTCACTCTCATTCCCCATTCTCTTTCCAACAAACAGGTAATTACACTCACATCAAACAGCAGAAGACAGAAAGACAGAATATCGTTAAACAAGCAAACCTTGTTTAGACGGCCGGTGTTTCCACCTTCGGCAAGGGCTTGTACTGCACGCCCTTCGCTCCATAACTATAAAGCACCACAGCCACCATCACAATCGCCGCTCCCACTCCAAACCGAGCATTAATCTTCGTATGGAACAACATGCATGAAATCAATGTGGAGAACAAAATGGAGGCAGAGCCAGCAAATGCCTTCAGGATATTATCAGCGTACTTCAGCACCAGTCCAATGACCAGACCGCCCACGGCCAGAAGCGTAATGGCGATCCACGCCCAGATATTGTAGTTTTTAAAGAAAACAGAGGGATAAACGATTTGGGGGTTCTGGACCACCGCCGAAGTGAACCCCACGACAAAACTCCACACAGCCAACCAGAAATTACGATTCCAAACGGTCAGCTTGCGGTCCTTGAACATTTTCTCCATAAAAACGCCAGCCAGGCTTGAGGATGTTGAGGAAATCAGAACAGCCACAAAGCCCACGGTAAAGTTCATATTCTCACTGGTCTTCCCACCAGACACGCCCTTGATGATGATTACGCCGAGTACGAGGAGGAACAAGCTCACCCACTGCAAGAAACGGAGCTTCTTTCCCAAGATCAGCACACTCAATAACGCGGTGATTAAAATCTTCATTCGAGTGCAAATCTGGAAAATGCCAGCATCCAAATTCGAGATAGCCACATACATGAAGAAATTCTGGATGGTGTACAACAATGCCGGAACACTCTGGAAAAGCACCTCACGCGTGTTCTCTCTCGCCTGCTCAACCAAAGCAGATACGGCCTTATGAGCAGAGCGGTTGTCGTTCACCATCAGCAGGAAGGACATAATAATCTTCATGACCTCTCCCATTATGACAGCCGTCATAGAGTTGTAAGTTTCCGCAGACACGGTTCGTGCATAACGCATGAATATAACCTGAGCGGTGTTCATGAAAATGAGCATCGCCAGACTGATATACTTCATGTTCTCTTCCATCATACTCGATTTCGACCCTTTCTCTTCAACTCCAGTTAGTTTTTCTTGCATCATAACTGAACGATTTTGTATTATAGGTAATGGAACGTTGAATAGTCGTGAATTTAAATTATAAAATCACTATTCTTATTGAAAATTGCTGAGATTGTTGTTCCATCAAAAACAACGTATTTCAATTGGGCGCTATTTTGAGTTTCTGTGGTTCCATACATTTGCAAAATGGACTTTGCACCACGAAGATTGGGCGTGATCCCAGCCATTCTAGTACAATGATCTATAATAAATTAAAAAATGCAGGCGCATCCCTGAATCAATTGGTCACGTCCAGTAATCCCGACCAATAACTTAACACGACCACTGCACGCACCACTATGCATCCAATCATTTCTAAGCTATGGAAAATGGTGAATCCGGAAGGTAGGAATGATTTAGAATGTCTCATTCTGTGTGAGACCGTGTAGGGTGACAACTTGTGTCGTTTTTGAAGAATTGGCATTCTAACCTAAGCATAGATAATTTACAGGGAACAGATTTATACGCTATGGATCAAGCGAATCAGGGTTGTTTCGGGGCTATTCGGTAAGAAAGTAGATTTGCGAAACATGGTTCCTCAGCGGTTGGAGCAACAGTATGGAGGCTATGTCAATGTTTCATCGGTGAACCAAATTACCGGAAGTGCCCAACCTTTTGGGGTGAGTACTCCTTTTTCTGTATGTTGCTTGTGTTTTGTGTTGAATGCAGAGCGGACAAGGCTTTGCGAGCATCTATCCTCGACTTGATTTGCAAAACAATGCGGAAGAGGACCAGCCTGTGTATGTGAACGCCAAACAGTACAACCGAATTATCGAGCGCAGAAAAGCGAGAGCCAAATGGGAAGCTGAACATCCCCCGACAAAGCGAGACCACAAATATATGCACGAATCTCGCCACAAACACGCGATCAAGCGACCTCGAGGAAGTGGTACGGATTGAGGGATGTTGGTTCATGGTGTCCAGACGGCCGTTTTTTGAAGAAGGAACAACAACCCGTAGCGCGTCCAGTGCGTTCTGAGTGAAAACCAAATAATATTTGTAGAGCGAAGTGAAGCTTCCCGATACATCGCGTGTGGACTCTGTCTATCGACCTCCTGAATTATTATCTCACGCAGCAGCATTTCAAACGATTCCTCCCACCGCTTTGGATCCTCGAATAACGAGTGTGCCCTCCTCCTCCTCTTCATCATCCGAATTGGTGACGAAAGCAGCGTTGAATGCGAAGCCGATCGGATTGGTGGAGAGTAAAGATGACGATTCGACGTATAACTACTTTACAGCGGATGCTCAGGAAACAGCGATTTAATGTAATCTAGAGGTGTGTTTGTTTGGACCAAATCAATCGATATTCTTATTGTTGTTGTTGTTGTAATATAGAAATCGAGTAAATAAGGAATTAGGGAAGAGTGTACGGCAAACAAACAAACAACAACCCATCTAATGCAGCGTTAAATCGTACTTGTACCGTTTTTCCGGATTTCGAAGCGTCTGGTACGCCTCAATCAACTCCTGCGTTCTCTGCTGCGCGTCCGGCCCACTTTCCATCACATCGTCCCCTCATTCTTACTGATAGTAATCCGGATGCACCTTCATGATTTTCACGCGGAAATTCCGCATAATCTCCTCCTGACTCGCCGTTCGATCGACCCCTAACAATGCATAATAATCGCGTGAATTGCTTCCATTCGACGAAGAAGAAGAAGAACTATTGTTGTTGTTTGAGTTATTATTATTGTTATTATTATTGTTATTGTTGTATTTGTTTCGCTGTGTTCGACTGGACTGTCGTGCACTCTGCTTAATGTGCTGCGTCACGTACTCTTCGTACTCCTCCACGTACGATTTATTGCTGATATGGAAGAACTCCAGAACGTAAAAAACGCGTTCCTTCCAATTCTCCCATCTCGCTTCGCGAGCGAATTTCTTCCTGTGTGTGAAGCCAAACCGAACGAAAGGACCGGTAGTACGCCTCAAAGAGCGTGTTATCGTGTGTTTGATCGACTTTCTTTTGGAGTTTTAAGTATTTCTTTTGTTCTCGAACATAGTGAAACTAGTCGTAACCGACGCAAAACACAAAAAAGAAACTCGAATTATACTATCCACCATCTTCTGATACGCGTATTTCAGCAGCGGAACCACCCACTTATCCTGCGTTTTCACCCTCCAGCAGCCATCATACCACGCGGATCAGCGGAATGCTTCGCATATTCGGCGGCTTGTGGAGCGAAAAACCCGTCGGAATGCCCGTTACGCCGCTGATGAAAATCGTGAAGAAGTCGTGCAGGTTGTTGTTGTTCACGATCGTTACCGGCACCATCACTTTCTTCACCTTGCGGTTCTGGTAGGAAAAGCGGACGTTCTTCAGCAATTCTGATTTCACGCTTTTCTGCATCAGCTTGCGACGTTCCTACAATTCGAGGGTCATGTAGCGATCACACCTCTTCTTCCACCATGGTCTTCACGTAGCTCCATGCAGTTTGCTCGAATATGCCCCACGGCTCGATTTCGGAGACTCCTTTCATCATGCTCACGTCCAATGGAGTCGCATTGGCTGAGGACACTTTCATTTCCTCCATCTGTGTGTAAGACACGCATTTTTGTTTCTACAAGTTTGTAATTGTAGTCATTTCCAGCATAAACCTGGCACTTTTTCCGTTTTGCTGCGTCCTCATCCGAGTACACAGATACGGCAGTGCTATTACCAACCTGAATGTAACAATCAAATGAAAAGCTCCAGAAGGGGAGATAGGCTCTCTACCGATTAGAACCGCCTGAGATCATTCGTACTTTTTTTGTTACATTTACTCCTTTCAAATTCGTATTTCTTGTAACCCAAAAAAAGATGGACGCACGTTCTCGTTCAGCGTCCGTTAAAAACGGTACATAAAGAGTGTTATCCCTCGTAGAACTCATGTGTCTTCCAAACAAACCATTAGAAGACAACTGACCATGCATAGGGACCAGAAAGTTTCTGTTCAACTGCAGACCTAAAGGACGCATTCCCACAGTCGAGATCGCTTTTCTAGCGAACGCCCCCAACATTTCAAACAAATAATACTAACGAGAAACTTGTTTCAAACAAACAGGAAATTATGGAAGCTATACTAATTACAATGGTAAGAAGTATAGTAATCATAGCAATAATAATAATGATAATAATAACAATAAAACAATAATAGGAACACATTACCTTCGTTGAAATCGCTCCTCTTGAAGTGCCTCTTCCAACAATTCAAAAAACCTTCTTTCCAGTTCTGATTCTCCTTCTCCTCGGACTCGCTCCGTCACTTCAGGATTCAATGCTGGGATTCCGCGAATGCTTCCATCCCACATAGGGCGGATGGAATCGAGCTGCGGATTGTGAAGGAGAGGATCGTTGGAAGTGAACGAATCCGCTGATTCGATTGGGATTTGAACCTGATCTCGATTCGGCTGGGATTCATTCAATTCAGTGGGTGCAATGGAATGAACGGGATGCAATTCATTCAATGGTTCGCCTTGCGCCAAGGCTTCTCCTCGATCAGCTCGATGACTCCAATCATTCAATGGATTCAATGGATTCAATGAGTGAGATTGGTTCATTCGATTATTCATTCGATCATTCATTTGATCATTCATTTGATCATTCATTCGATCATTCATTTGATCATTCATTTGATCATTCATTTGATCATTCATTTGATCATTCATTTGATCATTCATTCGATCATTCATTCGATTGTTCATTCGATTGTTCATTCGATTGTTCATTCGATTGTTCATTCGATTGTTCATTCGATTGTTCATTCGATTGTTCATTCGATTGTTCATTTGATCATTCACTTGATCATTCATTCGTTCATTATTCATTCGATTATTATTCAATCTTCCATTCCAATCCACCATTCGATTCTCCCTTCGTTCATTCCATGAATTCATTCCATTTCCATTTCCATTTCCATTTCCATTTGCTTCTCCGCCCCATTCTCCCTCGCTCCATCGAATCGCTTCCAGCACCACATCCATCACTTCCTCCAGCACCGAATTGAACCGAATCCCCGTTGACTCCAAAAACGCGATCGCCTGCAGCACGTCCGGCTCCTTCGCCCGCCTCAACTCATCGATCAGCCTCAAGATCCCTTCACGGTACCCCGTTTCCACCTTTCCTACGCGTGTAGTACGGGGATTCGCTGATTTCGGGGAACTGCAAGAACGACTGGAACAGCTGCGCGCAGATCAGCGAGCGAAACACGCGGTTCTCGCGGTAGAACAGCAGGCGCAGACGCGAGCGGTAATCGAAGTGGGTCTCGACCAGGCTGCGAATGAACGCAGGCTTGGTGAGAAGGTCGAAATTCTGGAATTCCAGAAGTGGAGAGAGATTGCGATGCGCTCGAATGATGTAGAGAGAAATCGGGAGAAGTAAACAAGTCTATAGAAAAAGGTGAGAAAACGGGAATGGCAAAAATAGGGACTACTTCTGGAATTAAAAACTCGATGCACAGTAACACATCGGAAACAGATTTCCTGCGGAAAAACTTGTCCGTGATGTGGATGAGGAAAAGAAGCAGAAAAAAAGTCGCGATTCCTGCAATTCCAATTTGGTACCTTTTTTTGGTAATTTGGTCCGCATTGACCCGAAAGGCCCCAATTAGTAATGCGGTCAATATTACAAAATAGGACCCAATTATGATCATACCCGGTAATAACATGAAATATAAATTGGGCCAGTCCCATAATAAATGGGACGTAATTAGGGCTACCTGAATCACAATGCCCCAATAAATATAATGCTCCATTTTGTCTCCGTCTTTTCGCTTTTTGGTCACCCTATTCGTCAACAATTGGGACAGGATCCACAAAAACTTAAGGGTCATGATGACCCCATATGCAATCAGAAGGCTCCAACAAATCGCCAAAGAAGTGGGAATCGAAACCGTTCCATCTAGAAATCAACGCAGTTGATTGGACGCACAAATTTGACGGTATTCAAAAATCACAAAAACCGCGATTATCATGAAATACAAAATAAACACTTGAACAAGAAAGTAAAAATACTGCATATTATTGGAATACACGACTTCGTTATGACTAACAAAGCGAACCGCGGATTTTGATTGGTTCAAAGTGCGAGTCACAAAATCGTCCTTTATTTTGGCAAAGATAAAATTCGAGTTAAACTGACTCAGGAACCACAGAGGCGTTCTACAGTGGAAACGTGGAAACGGAGGTACATTTGCTTTCGCGTGTTTGCATGAATATAAATAAAAGGAAGACTCAAAAAGGGCAAAATCAGCAGAAGGTAGACATACATCACCAGATAGATGAAAGAAACCGGGATGTGGATTAGCTTTGTCAATTGCAACATCATCATGATGGTAAATATCATGATAGATAGGGGCAAACCGATACACACGATCCAAGTGTCGTATAAGTACAAAAATCGGCCCATATTTACGCTAAAATCCTAGATTTTAGAGGAATTGCACATAAAACCCTACTAGCATTTGATGAATGGCAACTTCTCGATTTACAGCCTGAAAACGGTCTTCTTGTCTTGAATGCCAAAATTGATACTGCTTTATATAATCTAAATATCCATATTCCTTCCAATTCTTGCGTGAGGGAACAACATGGAAATCATCCTCTATTCGCTTCTTCCAGTTATAATAGCCATTATCTAGAAAGCCTGATACTGCTTTACAACATAGAGAAACCTCAAATATGTCTTTCACCTTATTCATCATACCATATCAATAGAGTTACCGAAAGGTAATCAAGAACATTTTCGATGATGTGCATATTCTGCGTATTTTTGATTACGTCCAACATCCCAGGAACGCTTGCTTGCATTCTCAAATCATCATATTCACGAGGCAAGCATTCCTTTTCAATGTCTAGACAGAAACGAAACATACCATGTAGAATTGTTAATAAGGACATACGAACTAATTTTATCCCAATTCTTTTTAAAACAAAGAAGAAGAAATAATAGGGTACGCAACATTATACACAACACAGCGACTACTCCTTCCTCTCAAGTCCTTTCATAAATGAAAACCCAGAAAACCCAGGAGAATCAAGCTGTTTCACCATTTTCATTCCCTGGTGGCACAGGTAATCGATTTTGTAAAAGTCATTCTTATCGACCTCGTAAGCCTGCAGTCAAATCAACATCCTTTCGCCTACATTGCGACGAAATTCCTTACGAGCATAATCCTCAATGCATTTTCTTATTTCGGGAGGCTGTGTCTGTGCTTTCCGTAAAACCATTTTGTAAAACGCAAGAATGTCTCGCTGTAAACCCGAATGAATCATCCTCGCTACAGTTCATCCTAGACAGCATCCATTACACATCTCTTATTTCAATTTGCTATTCTTTTTTTGATATTATCCAAAATAAGCAGATGACTGGAATTCCAAAATTACTCCCTAGATTCACTATATTCTTTGTTTTGCATGGACCGAACCAAAACTATTGAGGCGATTCGCAAACGATTAACAGCTCTCGATTGTCCATTTAGCGATGCTGAAAATCTGTTTTGTACTCCTTGGTACTCCTTTTTACAGTAGCGCAGCAGATGATGGTGAAAATCGTCTCCTGGTTGGAAGATCAGTGCATTCGTCTGTAAAATAGGACTGTTCTTCTAAGAGATAGTTATGAGATTGAAGATCGAGAACCACTCAGAACGAATAATCAGAACTGGGACAAAGTGTTTAACAAAGTAAAATTGAAAAGATTGTTTGAGAGTAGTATTTGGAGGATCTCTGTTGTCCTTGCCTGAATGAAGGGTACGGTAAGGGAAATCAGTGTCAGTGCTTGCTATGGATCGTTTCTCATGCTGTTTCGGTGGAGTACGAGGATAATCGTTGGATTTGATATGTTGTCTTGAATCATGTGCAGATGATAAATTCAATACAATAAAAATGGAAACAGAGCTCAGTCCCGAAGAGGAACATCATCTGACGGTTCTTCGTTCTTGGCTTCTAAGGATTGCAAACTTTTTAAATGTGAGTATTGTAGACGAAAACGAGATTTCTGCAATTCTGGATGTACGTGTTTGTTTGGTAGTATAGTGTAGATTCTGATCAAGGAGTTAAAGTCAATCAATAGTCAAATAAAGAATGGAAAATTGGAACCTTTGAAGTGGACTCTACGCGATCTACCTATTACAGGCGAAACTGCAGGTTTGCTTTTATCATTTTTGTGTTGAGTGGAAGATGCGAAGTTGAAAGACGCGATGTGTGTGTTGGAATGTTTGTACAATGAGGATGTGCGGGAGATTCAGGACAAGATTAATTATATCATTGAGCAGGTGCAGATAGCGACGGCGGACCCCAAGGCAAAGGGATCGTTGGGTGTTGTTGGTGTATAGTCTGTTTGAGATAAAAATATTTTCATTGTTTTTTTCTCTGTGGAGATTCACTTTGTTTCTATGAGGAAGATATATTGTAATCAATCGATTCTGTGTGTTTGACGCTCGTAGCCTATCTTTTTCTCTTGATTCTGGTTTTCGGTTTTGTTCAATGCAGGAAAGTACAGAATAATCCAAAGATTAATAGAAGAGTGCCCAATACGCCTGTACAATTGACCCTGGACTTTCATGTTGTAGAAACAGCAGGAATTACAAATTGAATTATTGAAAGAAATCTTAGTAGGTTGCGTGTTGTAATGCAGTTAGTTAAAGAGTGCGAAACGAGATCTTTCCATGAACCAAGCGCTAGAGAATAAAAGATACAAGAAATATTTAGAAGAAGAGGAGGAGAAGCTATCGAAAAAGCTGAACATGCTGAATAAGGAAGCCATTATGCTGAAGATCGTACGTTCTACGATTGTTGCATTCTTTGAAGGAATCGGATAGTTATTATAACGAATTGAACTTACTAAACGAGAAACTCGATTCGTATGAACAGCTCCGCAGCCTTTACCCGACAGTGAGTGATACAGAGAGCAGATTTATCAATGACATAAAACTCGACTTTGAACAATCCATCCAGTACATTTTTAGATACATTCTCGCCGCTTTCGAAGACGTGCTTGTTCGCTTTGACGCCTGGGAGAGTGGAATCAAATATCAAATCAATCTCCTGCGTTTGGATCCCGATCGTCGCGTCTTCATCGATTTCATCACGAGCATTTGGAATTACTTTGCTAATCTCATTCAAACAGTCGTTCAAAGGTATGGATAGAGATCGGAATGCATGGGTAGAGTGCTTCATTTTGTGGTTTACTATTGGAAGTTGGCGTGTATTTTGTTTGTGTGAGTGTTTGTTAATGGGTAGGCAAGCGTCTTTGTCCCGACCTTTCCACAATGGTAATGTTTGCGTGGTTCTTTCATAATCTTATAGTTCTACTCTGCAATCAAGCATGGTATTTGAACTTTTTATGTTTGTAAATCAAAGTCATTATTTTTTTGAATGGCGTTTTTTATGTGGCGCGTGAAAACACGAATGTTGTGATTGAGTTGTTGTTGCTTAGTTTCTAGCGTGGTATTAACTTTGATTATGTGTGTATTGCATTGATCCTTTTCTGGACGACTACGATTCTCTCTGTGTTGACGTTGCTATTGGGGAGGAAGTTGCTATTCCTCTTGATCGGGATATTGGCTATTTCGTTATTATTAACGGAATAAAGAAGTCGATACGTTGAAATGAAATGAAATGAAATGAAATGAAAAGAAAAGAAAGTGTTGATGAGTTGGAATGACATTCAGGGTAATCGTAGTATTCACATTGTTCTTGTAATGAAAGCCAGTACTCAACATGTTGTTGATTGTGGTTATTTGTTTGATACACAATTCATTTATAGTTTATATTTGTTCAGATTTACTTGTTTCCATTTGGGTTGCAGTTGAGAGTGTTTGGAGATTATAATACAAAATGGCTTTCAATTGGATCCTAGTAGCGGTCATCATGTACGAAGTATTGCTAAAATTGCAATTTAGTTTCATAATCATATTAACCTCCCTAATTATAATTAAGGTCTGTAAACTATCACCTGTATCGAAGGTATTTTCACATGAGCAGCCCCTTGACACGGTTGTGTATAAAATAATGGATTGACATGATAGATTAAGAACACAAAATACAAGATAGAACACGATGTGTTAAAGATTTGCTCTGATCGCCAAAAACTACGTGTTTCAAAGATCCAAAAAGAGTATTTGTTTAGTTACCATTTTTCTGGTAGATATCAAGTATATGGCCAGGTATGGGTCACTCCACAGTGGTTTGACCAGTTACAAAAGCAAAACTACGTACTAATTCGTGCGATCTGTAACGAAATAGATAGAAAAGCGTAGAAACAGTTCGTATGGCATAGTGATTGAAGGAAAGGAATCTCAGTTTGTCGAGCTTTTATAGTATGGATTTGCTTCCTCTTTCGAATTTTCAGCTTTTACAATCACGAAGGCGTCGATTTCGGCAACATGTTTCATTGCGTGTATTACCCCATTGCCTATCGGTACTGCTTTCATTGGCTCATTCAAAGCAGCGTGGAGGTCTGGAAAGCCCTGCTTCATTTGGACGACGAATCTCGCAGACAGAAGGGACTCAACCGTTCCAAACTCCTCGCTTCCCAGATCTTCAACAATTCCCGCGGTTCTCCCGAAGCCAAAATCCCGCCAAACGCCGCCATCCCCCACATATCCAGCGAAACGCCCTCGGAAACGTCGTTCGGCAATCGCCGAGACTCCTCGCTCTCCCCGATCGGTTCCCAAGACGACTATTTCCAAAAAAAGCGGGAAATTCTGTCAACCGGTTCCGACGATCTGGAAAATAACCGCGGTTTTCCGGGTTTGGTGAAGCCACTGGAGAACGCGGTGGCCATTCTGGAGCAGGATAAGAGTGAAACGCCGAAGTCGCGGCTGCACTCGGAGCGCTCGGACGCGTCGTACACGAAGCGAAACTCCCAGGCATGGGGGTATGAAACGCCCTGGATCTTGACGCCGCAGCCGTTTTCGCCGAGCGCGTCGCCGCAGGAACGGTTGGATCGATTCGAGCGCATCGAGAAGAGCGAGCGATTGGAACGAAATGAAAGAGTGGACAGAAATGAAAGGAATGAAAGAGTGGACAGAACTGACAGAACTGACAGAACTGATAGAACTGATAGGGCCGATAGAACTGATAAAATTGACAGAACTGACAGAACTGATAGAATTGACAGATCTGATAGAACTGATAGAACTGATAGAATTGACAGGGGCGATCGAGGGGAGCGGTCGGGAAGGGCGGAGAGGGCGAGGAGGGGGAGCTCGGCGTCGATTTCGTTTATGTTGGAGGATCGGCCGGAGTTGAGGCAGCTGATCGCGGAGGATAAGGATCGATGCCGATTTACGGAAGTGACAAGAAGTAAGTGGGAAGAAAGAGGAAATTGGGAATGAACGGGTTTTGAATCAATGAATCAATGAATGAATGAATGAATGATTCGATTCATTCATTCATTCATTCATTGCAAACAAAACTCATTGTTCCATTGTTCCATTGATTGATTGCTTGACTAACTGATTCATTTCCTTTTGGAATGCTTTACTCACATACAATAGACCCAGAAAAGACAAAACGGCTGGAGATTACGCTGAACGACTGGCTCAACAGCCATCCGGATGGCGAATATATTCAAGGAATGCTGGCATTGGGCGGCGTGCTCGTGATGGTAGTCGACGATCGTGAGCTTCGTCACGACATTTTTAATATCCACATTAAAACGAACAAAGCATTTCAATCCTTAACAAAACGTTTCATCACTTCGCACTATTACGTTTGTGTGAACGAAGATCACAAAGTCGCTTTTGCTGTCTCTCGTCTTTTCTATCACCAAGTCCTTTTGCGTTATTACTCCCCACTTCTCTGTCTACGCCTTCAAGAAATCGGAATCGAGCCGGAGGTCTATGTGTGGGACTGGTTCGTTCAATGTTTCATGGGGATTTTCACACTGGATCAATGTTATGTGATTCTGGATCTTCTTTTTTCTCTTCAATTGAACGACAATATTTTAGTTTGTTTATCGATTGCCATCTTAGACGAACTCAAATCGATTATTTTAAAAGTACACATGCTGTTCGCCTTTCCCTGATTCACAGAGCAATTTCGAAAAGGTCATGATGATCTTTACCGATCTAAAAAACAATATTCCACTTGTCGATTTTCCCCGAATCATCCAAAAAACGATTCTCATTTACACCACAACCCCCAAATCCATCTTTCGAGAATTCGAAGAAATCGACTCCCAGATTTATGACGGATTGATCGAGGAAGATTATTGCTTTCATTTCGAACAGTTGTATCTCGATATTTCATCGCGCGAACTGGTCCTCTTCAAAGCTCTCGACCTCAAAAATCTGCTTGTTATTGACGTAGCCATCCCAGCTGTCATTCGAAATATAGTGCTTTAATGTTCTCAAAATGCGCACAGAGACTATGTATCGTCTCGACAATGCTCTCATTTTTAACGTAGAATTGGGGTGAAAGAGAATCTAGCCTCTAGTATCCTCCAGACGTGATTGTCAACAAGGATTACAAACAACGTGTACTTCCTTTCTTTAAAAGATTTCGTCTGAGACATAGCAACGCGAGATTTTCACGACGCTTTCGCTCTACAAGAGTCGAATCACGGTGATCATCGTGAAGTAGAAATGGCGGTAATAATTGATGGAAGGCCTGCAGAAAACAATGCGACGTGCATGGCGCTACTGAAGGAGTTTATTAGGCACGACTTTTATCGGGTGTTTATCTATCGAGTGGGCGTTGAAGGAGGGGTTTGATGAAAGAGCGTTGCGCTGCAAGTGTAGAAGGATGCGGAGAACGAAAAGAAAAGAAATATATAATCATCAACGTCGCTTGGGAACTTGCTTCTGTTTGCAAGCTCTGAGAGAAGACGAACGATTGCTGGATATTTTGTTCTGATTACTTTGTTGTTTGTTTCATCTCACAGGCGAAGCCATTCTGTCAAGCTTCGTGACATGACCCCATAAAAATCCACGAAATGCAACAAGAGCAGCAGCAAGAGCAAGAGACAACCGGATGTCTTCGAATTCCAACTGTAGAGCCCAATTGCGGAGTATGGCTGTTAGTAGCAAATATACTGTGTGCAGGTAATCCTCAGTTTGTGAACTAAAATCAGGACTGGGAACCATGATCTCTGCGTGTACAGAAAAAGGGAGCACGAAAACGGACTGTTCCGTGCTTCTCTGTGGTGTGTTGCAGTTTTTTCTCGGTTACCTGATCGTCGGTTGGATTTGGAGCATAATCTGGGGAGTGAAGATCTATTCCAAATCCCAAATAAAAGTGCGCATAGTTCACACCAACAGCGACGATGCTACCAACCAAGTAACGTCAATGCCTTAAACGAATACTGTTCGCTGTTTCCTAAAAAAAGACTTCGAATTTTTCATAAATTTGGTGTTAGGCACTTCAAATTCTGATTTCGTTCTTGAGAATGCAAGCAACAGAAAGCGACAATACTGGTACGGGGAAGATACAGTACTTACAGGCTAATCAAGGTTTTATCCGTTGCCGCCATAAGATATTTGGCAAGAGGGATATTATTTTCTTCTTTAGCGACTCCCCGATGTTTGAAGGTAAACTGAAGTTGGGAACCCTTGTGAAGTTCAATGTGGTGGAGAATGGCCATCGCGAGAATTGTAAGGGAGGTCAGGTTACCCACTGGGCGGTAATAACGTCCATTTGTGAAGGTATTGAAAGAGATGCAAACACATCTCAAGGAAGTTGCAAGACTTCTTCCGATTTAAGTGATTCTAGTTCGTTGTATTCTATGGGCTCTCTTGAAGAGTCTTATGGTTATGACGCTAACAGAACGAACTTCAAGAAGTGTGAACTACCGGAAAGGGACATACTGCATGATCTGATGCAGTCGGTGTATCTATCACTGTACCACGTCGTGCTCGACTCTTCGATTCGCCAAAACACTATTGAGGGAAAGTCCTGTTGGGACGTCTAAGGCCTTTTTTGTGTTTTCGCTTTTCTTGGCTGTTTGTTACGATCCACCTTTTGAACACAGCTCATTGCACGAGAATTGGTGCGCCAATAGGAAAGTGCCATTTCATAGAGGAGTGAGTAAGAATCTTTATTTTGCTGGCATCATAAAGGTCTTTGCGTGTTTCCAACAGCTCCTAACCTTTTTCTGCCCGAAAGCATAATGGATTTTGTGGTGTCTTTTATTCAACAGAAGGTGGGAATGAAGGATTCTCAACGAGTACTTCAGTATCTGCCTGTCATTTTGCTCATGTCTTGCTCCACTTTATTGTGTTACTTTTACTATAATGCCTTTGCACCGCTTCTTTCGATCTTAGGTGCAGAGTTCGGATTTAATGAAGAGGAGAGAGACTATTATTTGGGTATAATTGGACTGTACGGATAAGGTCTAGGGAGTCAATTGAATAGTATCTTTTTTATAGTTGGATGTCCTTGCTCCTTGATTATATCATATATTGCTGACTCCATGAGTCGGAAGTTTGTGTTCTTGGCAATCACCTTTGCCTGCCATTTATCTGCCTTAGTTTATTTGTTTTTCTCATCCTATACTGTCCTCTTTGTGTGGAGAGGTATTTCTGGAGCTCTCATCATTTCTTGCCTGCCTATATTTGTTTCTGTTCTGAGCGATGTATTTCCCAGCCATTTGCGATCCGTGGCATCCGTCATTTCCTCCGTTGTGGTTGGATGTGGCATGCTAGTTGGTCAGACATTCAGTGGGTTTGTAAGTGTTCGCTATGGCTGGCGTGTTTTCTTCCGAATCGTCGCTGTTTCGGGTTGTTTCGTCGCTTCCCTTCTTTCTTGTACTCCCCTCCTCCTATAGTGGTTGGCTCATCGTCTAGTCACCAAGTTTCCGGACAACGGCGAAGCCGACGGCGTGCCCAAAGACCTTTCTTCCACGCCTCTCCAGTCCTCCCACTCGCTCCGAAAGACCCAGTCCACCCACTCCTTGAAATCGTCGCAATCCACGCACTCCTTGAGTCCTTCCAAATCAGCCTTTTCTCTCCACTCCTCCTCCAAGTCTTCCTATTCATTGCTCCCTTCCCAATCCACCCACATCTCCGCACTCTCCCACTCCACCGACTTCCTCGCCATCGCTTCCGACGCTTCCGACGCTTCCGACACTTCCAACGTCGCCTCTCCGCTCTGTCCTCCCTCTTCGAACACTTCGAACTCTTCCTCTTCTTCCACTATTTCCACTTCTTCCACTTCTGTCAGCTCTGCCCAGTCTGCTGGGTTTTCTCCGCTCGAGGAGAGCGACATCGAAATGGCCATGGAGCTGGAGGCCGAGACGCTGCCGCTGCACACGCCCATCCTCCGCAGCATCCTCGCCGTGCCCTCCAACTGGCTTCGTCCAATCGCCTTCCTCTCCTCATGGAATAGTGTTCCTGCAAGGGCTCCCTGGTACCATTCCGTGGGGCGTCTACTCGATTTATCTCCATAACATTCTCTGTGAGGAGGCTCGCTACTCCATCGATCGAGTTTCCCCGTTTCTCCGTTTTGAGGCATAGGCGTCGTCGCTTCTGTTGGTGTTCGGCGTGGGCGCAGCGATCGGGAGCGCGGTGGCCGGGGTGCTCTGCGGCCTTCTGTTGCTTTTGTGTTTGTTTTGATAACGACTAGTCACGCTTATAACAAACAATTACTCCCTCTAGCGATAGGTTCTTGCTATTTCATCGCTCTCCCTCTGATCTCCTCCCTCTTCGCCTTGCACATCGATTCGCGACAGCTCGCTTTTCTCCTCCACGCCGCCATTCTCCTCTGTCTCGGGCTCCTTCTCAGCATTCCGGGCCCGTGTCTTCGCACTCTTCTCCTCAACGTCAATCAGCCACAATGCCGCTCCTCCGCCGTCGCGCTCAGCGAGGTCTTCAATAACATCGGGCGCGTCTTGGGACCGTTCCTCTTCGTCTGCCTCGCGAAGTAGATTCCCGGGTTTTGATTGGCTGACAGCGCAGAACGCGAAGTCGAGTGGATTCCGTCCTCCTGATTAGCGAGTTCTTCTATGTTTCCGCGGGGATTTGCTTTTTGCTGTGCTTGACGTGCGTGCGGGACGAAGAAAACGTTTCGGAGTTCGTTTCGAACCTCACCGCGTCGCTGAAAGCAGAACCGGTCGAAAGTATGGAATTCCAGAAAGAGGGGCTTCTTTTTGAATCGATCGAAATGCACGAGGAAATCAGTCCTGACCCGCAGAGAGTTTCATCGGTGGAGTTGAAACGGACGATTTCGCTGCCGACGTTGCGGGAAGCGGGGAAGGAGGTGAATAAAGTGATAAAGAAGGTGATGAATTCGCTGACGTTTACGGAAGTGGAGGAGTTGGAGAAGGCTCCGCTGCTGAACAAAGTGTAGAATACTAGTTGTGAATTGTTTGTTGGAAACGAGAGGAGAAGAAGGGAACGAAAGAGTACTAAATGATGGGAAGAATAGGATGAAGGTGGATGGTTTGAGTGAGGAAAACTCACAGAATTAGTATATGAAACAGAAATGAAATTGTTTTGGATTTTGTAACTACAAGTAACTATTTAAACAGGACTAAGTAACACAGAGAATCAATTCATTTGTTTTTTTACAACAAACATAAACAAAGAATCCATACAATAGACCTGCCTTCTATTCTTCTTCGTGAAATAAAAGGTTGGCAAGATCCCGTGAAATATCTACATACTATCCAATATCCATTCTCTGCTCACTTGATATAGAAGTATTTTCAACAAACTGAAATGCTTCGGGTAAATGCACATCAACGAGATTTGGAATGTCTATATTATTTATCAAGAAACAGTACAGAGTTTACCAATTAGAGTTACATCCGCGACATAACTAAAACTGTCCCCTTTCGAATCAATTGAAACGAGGTTTGGCAGATCTACGCAGTGAGCAATTTCGCTTCATTCTACTACTTTTCATTTGCAGCGGGCATTCAAATTCATCATTACCCATGAGTGCACATTCTCCGAGTTGAATGGATTGCAATGATGGAAGATCTAGATTAATCACTTCTAATTAATTCATTCGGTACTTTCGATTATTATGGAATTCGGAATTCCAAATGCAGCATTACCTAATGTAATGGATTGTAGGCTTGGAAGATCTATACATTATGCATTTTCAATATCATATCAATACCTCGAATCACAAACGAACTGGAATTAAAATTGAATGATTCACTTTCGATTATGCCAATTTGAATGGATTGTAATTGTGGCAAATTCTTCAATTCAAATTCGCCTCCAAAATCACTGAAACTATATTGTCCAATTACTATCGATTCCAATGATTCACAATTCAATATGTGGAATGATTTCGATTCATCTTCTCCACAATAATTCTTTTCAAGAGTAAAAGAATTGATTCCGATTTTGATAGTTTTCAATCGATTCAATCCATCGATTCTGAATGTTTTCACTGATCCAAAACAATCATTGCCAAGAACAAGTGTCTCAAGGGCTGCATATTTGGAGAAATCAAATGTTGTATAGTTTAAGTCGTTACATGTCCAGTTGGGTAAAACAATTGAAGATACTGTAGAATCGATTGCTTGAATATAATCGAAATTGTACACCTGCTCCGGAAATAGCTTTTGGAGTGATTCATGAACATCTATGTTAAATGTTATTTCTATTAAATACTAATCAGACTAAAAGAAAGAATCCTTGAAAAAGAATCAGAGAGATTCACATTCTCAACATTTGGAATATCTAAAAACAATCTATTTTCACACAGTGTAATACTTTCTAAATTGGCTATGCGAAGACCAAAAAAGCTGCTTCCCTGTGATTCGATGGATGTTAGATTTGGAAGATCTACAAAGCAAATCATTTCAAATGATTTCGGTGTTACTTCGCATCACCAATGAACATGAGGAATCAGCACTTCCACAAAGAGCCATACTACCAAGTTTGATAGTTTGTAATGACGGAAGATCTAGATCAATTATTTCTTTTCCGATAGTTCAATACTCTCAATAATTGTTGATAAGGAAATAACAAACGCGTCATCACCTAATGTAATGGATTGTAGATTTGGAAGATCTATGCATTTCACACTGCCAATATCATATCAATACCTCGAATCACAAACGAACTATAATAGAAATTGCATGAACTACTTCCAATTGTACCTATTTGAATGAATTGTAGTTGTGGTAGATTCTTCAATTCAAAGTCTCCTCCATAATCACTGAAACTATGCTCACCAATTTGAATGGATTCCAATGATTCACAATTCAATATGTGGATTGATTTCGATTCATCCTTGTTACCAAAGATTCTGCTCTGAGTAAATGATCTATCTCCGATTTTGATAGTTTTCAATCGATTCAATCCATCGATTTTGAATGTTTGTACTGATCCAAAACAATCATTGCCAATTTCGATTGATTCCAAATTATACAACAATGAAACATCCCAATCAACCAATACACAATTGTTAGTCAGTTTCAAATACTTGATTCCGATATTCATTGGCTTGCTGCCATCTCCTTCATATTTATCAATATCACATTCAATTCCATTAAACCACAAGCATTCATTCACTAATTTACCATATCGATCATACACGATTCCGCTTCCAAATCGATTATCATCACACCAATATCCTTCATATTCAATACATCCATTATTATGATAACTCGTTCCATACCCAAATCGTTTCCAATTGATCATTATACCCTTGTACACCAATATTCCATCATCATCATACATTTCACCATATCCAAATGGAATCCCAATTTTACCTTTTTTTTCTTTTTCGTTTTCTGTCAATATTAAGCCTTCAAATCGACTTCCATGATCCAAATCCACGATTCCTTCTACTACTTCTGTGGATTGTTCTTCATTGTATGAAATATCACCAAATTGATGATTTCCAAACACTTTCAACACTTTCTGCTCATTGACCACAAATCCTTCATTCATGAATATTCCATTATCGAATTGCAATACTAAACATTCTCTATTACTCAATATGAGTAAAACCCAGCCATCCACCTTCATTTCTTTACCCAAGCATGCATGCACATTTTGAATTATGGAACCATCAACATGATAATTATGAATAGCAGAATTGAAAAAATAGCCCAAATTATACATCAAAGTATTAGGAACTCTACTGTGAAAGTATTTCTTCATTATTGTATTCGATTGTTTGATTTTAATGGAATATTGTGGTATCAATACTTCTATATAAGATTAGAAACAATGCAATTATGTTAGAATTGAGTTTGAGTGAAATGTGCATTAATTTTCCAAGAAGAGCAATGATTTATCGGATAATTAGACGCTGCAACTACTATTCGTAAATATTCGTTCTGATACTCTCTTTCTACCTTTTTGTTCATTTTCAGTGTTTTTGTCACTCTTTAGATTACTATCACCCAGAAAATAGGTTTTCCTTAAGTACGTACTCTTTTGTGTATACATCAACCGCATTTCTTTTTTTCCATATTACAGCAGACCAGTATTACATTCTGAAAAATAGATGCTAGAGATATCAGCGAGCAGTTGTTGTGTGGTTATATCACAATTGAGACGTTCCATTGTAATCGTGGAGTTATTGTTCAATTGGCCTTTATCAGTTAGCCAGCATGTACTCAAAACAAAAATTCAACATAATTTCTTTAACAAATCTTCAGGAATCGGCAACCCAACAACATCCCTTCTACACCTTCCTATCTACACAATCCACGAGTGCCGACGCCACATCTTCACGTCAATACCAAAACCAGTAACAAACTCGTAATCGACTTTTTCTGTACCGATATGAACGAACTAAACAACTCCACGCTGTTCACATTGGGAATATCTACACCCAATCGACTTCCATCCAATTCCAAACTTTCCAAAACAATCTCTCTCTGCCATACAAACGCATATCCTTCCACACACTTCAACTGCGTCAGACTCGGAAGATCTAAACGCTTCAATTCGCTTGGCAAATCGGCTACTTCGTATGGTGAGCGAGCATCTCGAGTTGTTTTTCACTCCGTTGAGCGAAGAATAGCCGAGTGTGATGGATTCTAAAGATGGCAAATCTAGTATTCATTCATTGATATTCAACGTGAACTCTCGATCACTGTGATAAGCGAGCCGCAGAACGAAAACCTCCCTAATTCGATTTGTTTCAGACTCGGAAGATCTATTCAAAAAATATGTTTGAAAACTGCAAACCACGAAGAGTGAGCGAAGCGTGCAGAAAATTGTCGGATTCCTCGCTGAGACTGCCGATCGTAATCGATTCTAAAGCGTTCAAGTTGCTTAAGTACAAGCCTTTGGAGTAATCAGCGAAGCTAAACGGGCTCATTTGGATGGTTTGCAATGAACTACAATTCGCAATCTGGCAGAACGCTTCATTTCGAGACCCGATTTGATATCTTCTTTCGTTGAAGGAACTTGATAGGAACTGCAAATGCTCCATTGTTTTGAATCCATACATTGAACACGTGGTCACTTGATTGAAGCTCATCTCTGGGAAAAGAATGGTTCGATTCTCTTGAATGACCGGTTTGGCATTCATACGCACATCGAATTCTCGTGTGTAGGGAGAAGAGACAACATACTTCTTCGTGACGCATGCATAGATAATATCAGCAATGACAAACCCAAGAACAACGAATACAGCTATAAATGGATTGAAAATAAAGAAAGAAATCGCTATCAAAACAACACTAAGCATATAGGGCAGCACTATGAACAAAAACTTAAAGGTGGCGATAGAAAATCCATGAGCCCATTCGCCTTCATATTGAATTCTATTATTCTTTATAGATGTTCCCAAACCACATCGTTTATTCTTATAATAATCACCAACATACACCACATTTCCTTGGGAATCAAACTCTGTCCCACTAATTCGATAATAACCAGAATCATAGTCTCCATAATAAGTTCCTTCAAAACATTTGACCCCATTCCTATATTCAATCATAATATCGTCTTTTAGTTCGTATAACAACTCGACTTCTCGATTATCACTCCATCGACTCACTCGCTCAACCTGTCCAGAAGAATAGGAATAGCAAGTTCCTTCAGTGTTACCCTGACTGTCCCTGTGTACAAGAGCTTTCATCTCTCCTTTATTGTCGAATACCTTCCAATAACCATCCAATTCTTCAGAGGGTTCATAAAGAATATTTCTGCATCCCTTTTCGAAAATACCTTGGTAAATGACATTTCCTGTCTCATCGTACTCAATTCCATTTCCTTGGCGATAACCATGCTCAAGATGGCCTACAAAGAATACGCTTCCTGATTCATAATAGAGTTTACACTTTCCTTCGATCTCTCCATTAACATAGTTAAATTCGGCAATAACTCTATTACTCGGTGTTAGAATCACTGCTGGCCCATCTA